GATTACCGGTTTTTTGCATGAAGTCCGGTCGTTTTTCGGTAAATGCTCGCTTTGTGAAAAAATGACTAATGCAAATTTTTTGAAAAAAATGCAAATTTCCAGTTCACTAAAAACTGGGGGTATTACTCGAACGGTCGTTTGTCAAAAAATTCGTGTTCATTTACACATACGATTGCGGTTCAGGTCCGAGTTGCGAGCGATTTTTGGGTTGAGGAGCTGCTTGAGCGCTATAGCGCTGCACGGCAAAAACGCATAAAAACCCGACGTCAGTAGGTGAATTCCCTGTTTATGAAGCTGATGCTCAGGTGAAGCTGAAAGAGAATAAGCTCCAGTATAGGATATGAAGTGGGCAAAAAACTGCGTAAATTGGAGCAAAAAACAGAAGAGGTGTACGTATTGTGCACAATCATAGGCTATCGAAGGCAACACAATGGGCTGCGTGAAATTTCTGTTTAAATCCAATTGGAACTACTCGCCCTCAAGAGGCGCCCGCCGAACAGAACGTCTCTGTGTTCAATGCCTGATTACTAAGTTGTCAAACAAAAAAGGTTCGAGTCCGTAAAATTAGATGACCGCACCGATAATAATGAACTAGATCTAAACGGAGCCTACAGGATTGATTTCAGAACATCAGTCACAGAACAAAAGAATTTTCCAGAGAAGGGGGCACATTGCAGTGGATCCGAAAAGGGAAGTATCGAAGGAAACGGAAGAGGACGCAAGTTAGACTTGTCGTTCTGCACTCGCCTTTGAATATTGTTGTTTGCTTTTCACCTATCAGTTAATTTTACAAATTTAGGCTCCTTAGCTAAATGTGTTTGTGCTTCCTGCAGCCATGGACCAATTACCATGCTCTTAATAAATATCCTCTCCTCCCCACTCCCCCTTCCCTCTTTCGCCCATTGATTATTCATTTTTCAGCTTTTTGCTTCAGTATTGAATGAGAGTCCAAGATCGAAGTTGATGGCACGGTTGTTGGCTGTACCGTTGAAGAACGTTGCAAATATGAATCAATGTTGAACTGCCAAGCATTTTAAGTGTTCAATTATGTAAGCACTTCTCTGGCTTAATTCAAAGTCCACTGATTGAGTCTGTCGACTTCCTATCACATCATCTTGAAAATTTAGGCGTTTTTTCTGTACAAGATGAAAAACGGGTGCCCATTCCACTTCATAATTTTTGAACATTTAATTCGGTGTATCTTAATTACTAGAATTATCAAAATCACTGCATAATCGGGTTGAAAATGCACGATCTTGCCGGCACTAACGCGCACTCACACATCGTGTAAAGTGTATTTTAGCGAAAAGTAGAATTCTCAAATTTTATAACTTGATTATTCTAATTCCAAGTGAAAAACTCTTTCGTATTTACTTTTTATAAGAGGCCAGGGACTTCCAGAGAACGGGAGCATGTACCAGCACCAACCGCTACATGCTGGCAAAGCTTCTCTTACGAACACTCCTTACAAGCTGCTGATGGCAAATTTGATTCCCTGGCACATTCCAGTACTATATTACCATCGAAACGAATGAACGAATCGTAGAGGAATTGTTTGTCCCATTGGCGAACTGAACCCTCGATCTATTTTGTAATTTCTGAACAAATTTAATTCAAAAAATATAAGAATCTATTTAGGAAACAAAACTAGACGATATGCTGGAGCTAAAAACGGCGAAAAATGAACTTAGTGAGTAATTCTGCCAGTAAGTGATTATTAATTCATGCGCACTCTTACCTTATCATTCCCGTTTTGCATAATGCCACCAGCACCGGCCAGAGCAGCATTATCATTATCATCATTATCACTGGTTGCATTGGTGGACGCCGTGTCTAAACCACCACCACCGCCGTATCGTCGTTTGTAGAATAACGGGTCACGCCAATATGGCTCGTAGCTTGCTGACTTCTTAGCACTTAGCGAATCAATTGTTGATGTCGGTGAGCTAAATTTGATAATTTTTGCAACTAATTAGGCTTGGCTGTGTAGTTCACATTACTGCATGGTCATCATCCAGTGTGACCCCTAAACATTTCTGCATCTGGACTCCCCTTCTGCGGGAAAATCCTATACGACTGACCACTACTCTCTTCTATGGATGAGAACTGTTCTGGAGGAGGAACACCAGTAGGGGTAAGCTGTTGTTACCAAAGAGTGGTGGAAGAAATGTGACAGTATTTTTCTTTCAGAAAAGGAAAGAAGGCGGAGAATGAACTCAGTTATTACCCGTAACCTGGCTTTGTCAACAGTGAACCTAGAAGAGTTGCCATCTACAGCAGCGGCAAGAAGGTGTACTGTTAGAGAATGGCAGCAGTTCGAAGTGGATATCTCATGTTAGTGTTGTTATTAGGATGATCCTATATGCCAAGCACAGCTATGCCAAGCCATTCGATTCTGGATTGCACACCCTCGGTCCTGGGCCGTGTGCCTGCAGTCCTGGACTATGTTCCTCAAACTCAGGGCTGCATGCCCCAATCACCGTCTGTTCGATGTTTGTGCACCACCTCTTCAGCGGCGCTTGTGCTCGTTTAGTTTTAATATGACACAGTTAAACAAAATTACATATATAAAAAGATGTCAAATTTACCTGATCGAATGACTCCCATCAGCTAAGCCGTTCATCCTTGCGGACTGTGGCGAGTGCGAATTGGACAGTCGGTCCAAGTCCGATACCAATTCGGAGAAATTACGAGCCACCTAAAACTGATGTAATTTCTCGAAGTTTCTGGAAATTCACTGAAATTTACTTCCTTCGAAAGATTTTTAAATTTCGAAATTATGTTATTATTTAATTACCCGAGTAGTTTTGGTATTCTTAGTACTAGATCTGAGTGTCCTCCCCCGGATCCTCTGTTTTTAGTCCTCATAGCAGTTAGAATTCGCGAAAGAGAAGGCCACTGATATGGTCTTTCAAAAGACGGTGAGTGAATAATAATAATATAGGCAACAGGTACGGGCAGGAGGCGATGTAGCTCGTGCTTGGAATACCTAGCATAGCTCTGTTTGACGCCCAGGGTATCTCAGTAACATCGGTGCTCCACTGCAGTAATTGCCGGTTACTTTATCAGTTCATAAGCTTGTTCCTCTCCAGTTATGAGTAGATGAAAAAAGCTCTCCACTTGCTTTGATTAGTACTTGCGCTCAACTCCCTACCGCTGGCGATGTTGAGTGTTGTCTCGGTTGTGGACTACGAAAAAAAAATTAAATATTCGGATGCTTTTAGTGGTCAAAAAGAGAACTTATTATGCGTTTTTGCTGTGCAGCGCTGCTACAGCCAGCAACAAAGGCTGGAACGCACCAGGCGAGCC